TTGCACACCTTCTCCTGTTGTCTTAAACCAAGGACCTATATACTAACCTGCTAAAAGTATGTACACGTATATCACGTGAAAAAAAACTCAATGTTTTATATCGACACGATAGCACCTAAGTCTATTTGAACAATGGTTTAGGCCGACGTATTATAAGTTGATATAAGGCCCCATAAAGAAAATTTTGTAAATGTGAGCAAAGAAATGAAAGATTATACATCATTTTAAATATTTCTTTCACAAATCTCTAAAAAGAATTGAAAATAGAATTCCAAGGGACAATTGCCCTTTATTTTCAACACAGCTGGGTACTTGTAGTAGCCCACAATGCATTGCGGCTCATTCAGCAGTAGGTAAAGTAAACAGATAGCTAATTTACATGCAAATTTATGCTGACGTCAGAAAATCTAGTGGTCTCGACCTGTTAAAAAATTTAAATAAAATACCAAATGAAAGGAATAATTTATATCGTAAGTGTAAGCGTTACTAAACTGCTGAATTGAAGTCAATCAAAATGAGACAGAGTAAAAGTTGTCAATGTGGTATGCAAAAAGAATAATTATTATCGTAAATAAAATTGCTAAAGGATTGTATGTGCACACAGCTGACATGATTCTTGCAACTCAATGGGAGCGTGCGTATACATGTAGCACCATGACTGTAAATCAAAGCCGGGGAAAAATAATTTGTATACATACAGGATGAAATCAATCCTCAACAATAAAAACGAGCGAAAGTTTCGATTATTTTGTTTTTAGATCTCATGTAGTTGCTATGTATATGCTGGCTAACAATTGTGATTTGCGTTTATAAAATAAATTTATACAAACACCCGCACTATCAGTCCTATATGATACTGTAATCAATTTACAAGTATCATTTTTTCATATAAAAAAGCTTTTTGTGAATTTATATAAGCTAAGTGGAAGTATTTTACATATTGCATATAGAAATTTGATTAAGAGAATTCAAAATTCACAAATGTTTGAGAGTAAGGGCCATTTTCTAGCTTGCGACTAATAAATAAAGATAACCACACCACCCCCCTCACATTTCCTCACTGGGATGTTTTTCTTTACCGTTTTTCGAATGAAGTGATCAAATTCATGTGTTATATTTAAAATCTTACTGAACATGAACATCCTAAAAATACAAGAAATAACATTTTATCATTCGCGATATGGTCGCTGCATGCTAGTTCTCATGCGCGACGAATGTTTATACAGTTCATTCTGACTTTGTGGGCAGAATATGAATTTCCCAATATTAGTGTAAAAAAGTTGCTGGTCATCCTAATATGTATCCGCTATAAGTAAAATGATGAATAAAATTAAAATTACATTTCGCATATGTCTCACCTGTAGATCTAGCATATTCCAAATGTCGAAATATTTACACTTGACGTATTGTTAACGTGATTACGGTAAACATACGTATGACGTTGTTGAGATAAATAATGCAATAAACGCAACGTTTTGGCATTAAAACAGCAAACTTTGAAATTATTTAGCAAAAAATCTAGCGAGAAGATATTACTGGGTTTTTTTTATATCAATAGTTTTGATTTTACTTCATCTTGACATTTTGAAATTCTTGACTAATTCGTCTACATCTTTAAAAAGTTATCCAACATTTTTAAAAGAAACTCTTTCCGCAAAATTGGCTTTAAAACGTCAATTTTTCATATATTTCAATGGTAAAGCGTAAAAATAGTACTAAAAACGATACTGCGTTTATAGTAATATAGCATAAAAACTACGCAGGCAAATTCAACAAAATTTACAGATAATATGCTGTAAATCCTAAGGAACATTATATCAAATTTTCAGGATATGTTTTCTGGTAAGAATTTTGACGCGGTAAACCTGCGACCTACCTTAATTAACGGTAATGTTTTAATATCATGAAAAAAACCCACAGGACTATATCTGGGTAACGGCATGACGTTTTAAAAACGGTAATTAACACTTTACGAATTGAACAATTATCCCCCGCGATCTTAATCTGGAGAGCTAAATTTGGGTCTCGCTAAAATTTCCACTTATACGGTAATTCCAAAGGCCTGAATGAACTTCCCCCAGTGTCAAGACCCTTTGAAGTCTATAATCCGTTTTAGTGTCAGTAGCTTTGTCTTCTGTAGTCGGAGCATAATATGGGACTCTGCAGCGTAGCCAAATCTCATCCTTGTGTAATCGGGCCTGTCCAGTTGGGATTCTGATCCGGCCGCCGCCAATACCATTTCTGTAGACGAAGTTTGCATGGCTGTGAAAGCTGTTGAAATGCTGTAATTCTCTGATGCATCTGTAGTAGAAACATTTGGTCTGCTTATAGGAGCTTGTGTTGATGTTGGAATCACAGTACTCGTAGAAGTAAAAGTAGAACTTTGCACCGGTACATTTGTATTTTCACTTGATCTCGAGTTCACAGCAGTAGAAGATGAAGATGCCAAGGTTAAAGTGTTAAACGGGAAACATGCCAGTTTGCTGGGAGTTCTGGATCATACGGGGCAGGTCTTGTGTAACGTTATTATGAAACGCAAAGTCAAATTTGAAGCAGTTGAATTAGTCTCTGAAACACTAATTAAAACGTCAAAAGTTCCTATAACATGTCGAAACATTTAAAGAACACACATCTCAGGTTTAAGAAGTAATCCATATTGTTAATAATAGAGAAGAACAAAGATAATCGCTTTGCACAATAGTCCGTGACTTCCAAGCTCCAACTGCAATTACCAGACTCCCTCTCTAGGCATCAGTGCCCCTGGCTACTCTTTTCTTATTGGTCAATCAAAAAATACCCCAGAACAAAAACTGTTTATAGAAACACATTCTGATTACATAAAAAAACAATATTTAACACATTTAGTTTAGTCACATAGGCTAGAAAAGACAATTTGTGTATAAATAATAATTTAATGTTCATTAAATATAAATAATTCCATGCTAACATTTACATTCATAATAATTCACAACGTTAAAATTTGGGTTGTCTACACTCCATTGTACAAGTCCGTTTGTTGACAATTGCCTGAAAGCTTTTCTCGTGCTGTACTATGAGTGAATATGAATTTCACATGAATATTCCCTGGTCCAAAACAATAGTCTCTATAGTGTACTCATATTCTGTCATTGTTTACTACGTATACAACACTTCAATATATATGCTATTTAAAACACATTCTATGATCAATGAACACGAGAATAAATATTGTGTAAAATAAATGCTATGCAGCAATTAACTCATGTTTTTAGCTCACCTGAGCCATACATGTCGACTCTACCAATTTAGGTGGAAGTTTACCTTTTTTCATTCCATCTCTTGCTTACCGCTTTCATTCGAAATCTACTACTTTTCTACAAAAGTTTTTCACAAATAAAGTTTTGTCAAAACACACGCATACACCGCTTTTTTAAATACGCATATGTACATAGATTTCAAACATGTATTTGACAATTACGAAAACAACACAAAACTCAGTGATTACATTGGTTACGATAAATTTGTGATGGACGGACGGACAGATGGACAGACTAACGGATGAATGAGATTTAATGTCCCCTCACTCTCGCAAAAGTGGGGGACAAAAAGACACCATATGGTCACCCAGCGCTGTCACCATTTAATTTTGTGTCGGCATTGTTTTTCAATGTCTGTATTCTCTAACCCATACATTTATCTTAAATTAGAATCCTTGGAGTTAAGTAAAGATTTAACGTACCTTGTTGTCCCCCGCTTTCGCGAAAGCGAGGGAACAGTAAATCTCATTTGTATGTCCCTCCGTCGGTCTGTCCGTCCGCCACAAAAACTTTGACCTTGCCCATAACTTTTGATTTAGTAGAGCTATAGGTGTTATATTTCACGTGTATTTCTTGTAACAAGACCTTTCTTTGGGTACCACCAAATTTGACCTTTTGACCTGGAGTTTGACCCACTTTTACGCAAAAATTACAAACTTTTAATTTGGCCATAACTTTTGAATGGTAGATACTAGGACTTTCGTATTTCACATGTATATTTTTTGTGGCAAGACCTTTCATTGGATACCAACAACTTTGACCTTTTGACCTTGACCTTGGAGATTTCTGTACTTATAAAAAGACTTTAACCTTGGCCGTAACTTTTGATTGAGAAGAGATATGGCTTTTATATTAGAGATGTTTACTACCTGTGACAAGACGTTTTTAATACACTATGATTTTTGTCCTTGTGACTTTGACCTTGAAGTTTGACCAACTTTCAAAAAATTTAATCTTGGTCATATCTTTTGAACAAGAAGAGATAGGGCTTTCATATTACACATGTATATTAACTGTGCCAAGGCCTTTCTAAATACACTATGATTTTTGCTGCAGTAAACTTGACCTTTAAGTTTGACCTACTTTTAAAGAATTTAAACATTACTTTGACTTGGCCATAACTTTTGAATGAGAAGAAAATATGTACATGTATCACATGTGACACGACGTTCCTATAAACTCTATGATTTGTGACCATGACCTTGATGTTTGACCAACTTTTCAAAAACCTTTAACCATGGTCATGAATTCTGAAGGAGAAGACATACGGCTTTCATATAAAAATGTGTATTACCTGTGACAAGATCTATCTGAATACACTATGATTTTTGAATTTTGTGACCTTGACCTTGAAGTTTTACCTACTTTTCAAAATTGTTAATTTTCCTTATAATTTTTGATTGAGAAGAGATATGCTTTCATATTTGACATGTGCATGACCTGTCACTGTTATTTCCGAACATGCTATGATTTCTGACCCCTTGACCTTCACTTTCACGATTGACCCTATTTTTAAAAAAATCCAACTTTGGTGATAATTTCTAAATGACCTATAATAGGGCGTTCATATTTGACACAATATGTCATAAAAATGACATCTCACCCACAAAGACACCAAAAGCAGGGGACCATACTTCTTTGAATTTGCTTGTTTATACGATTTTAGAATTGAAATTTTGGAATTTGAATGATTTTTTTTTTCAGCAACAGAGTCACCATCCTACAAAGCAGAGTTTGAAGTGGTTTATGATCTAGGAAAACTTGCTTCATCATGTGAGCAAGGCTTTGACAGTTCACTGGCTGAACATAACACAAGTATTGCAGGAATTGTCAGGGAAAAATGTAGTCATCTTGATTCAGTTAATTTTGTGATAAACAGCTTTACCTCAACCTCAAGTACATTTCAGGTATTGTTATGATAAAGGTATGATGAAATACTCTGTTCCCTCTTATAAAAGTTTTTATAATGTTGAACTGTTATGATTTTTGAGAGCCTAAAGCTCAAGTGAGCTTTTCTGATCACCTGTTGTTCAGCATCCATCAATCTGTCTTTTCATCTGTAAACTTGGCACATTTTAAAATTCTTTCAAGAATGACTGACACAATTTTAGCCAAAGTTGGTACACTGCATTCCTGGCTCAAGAGGGTTCTAAGTTTTTAATATGTAGGGCCAAGCCCCTTTCAATGAGGAGATCAAGAAATGGCAAAATTGGGTGGAGTCATTAAAAAAACCTTTCGAAAGATAGTGAATTGGCAATGGTCACAGATGAGCAGAAAATAGTTGTTGGAAGATTGACAATGCAGAGAAATGATAGCATAGCAGCAGCATCAATCGTCTCATATTAAACTTATTTGTTAAATCTAAATATATCTAATGTAATTTAGTGTTTTCTTTTCTTATTTTCAGAGACCAGAAGAGTTTATGCAGTAGTAAGGTGTCCATCGTCCGTCCGTCTGTCTAGATGTCTATCTGTCTGTAAACATTTTTTAAAAAATGCTACTGCCCCTATAGTATTGGTTTCAATATTAATTGGCAAACAAGTACTCAAGTAGACTAGATACACAATTTATTGTATTGGTTTTTGATATTGATGGACAGTGTTGCCATGGTTACTAAAATTAGAAATTTTTGTGAAATTCCTTTAAAATGCTACTCCTCCTACAGTTCTAGTCTGATTTCAATATAACTTGGCACACAAGTGTACTAATTAAACTAAAATACACAATTCATTGCATTGGTTTTTGATTTCGATGAACGGTGTTGCCATGGTTACTAAAATTAGAAATTTCTGTGAAAATGCTACTTCTTCTACAGTTCTGGTCTAATTTCTGTATAACTTGGCACACAAGTAGACTACACTAAGATACATAATATAGTCTGCATTGATTTTTGATTTCCATGAATGGTGTGAATGGTGTTGCTATGGTTTGTAAAAATAGAAATTTTTTGTAAAATTCGTTTAAAACGATACACCTCTTACAGTTTCGGTCTGATTTCAATATATTTTGGCACACAGGTAGATTACACTAAGATACATAATGTAATATCGATTTTGATTTTGATGAGTGGTGGAGTAAACTCAGGTGACCTATTGCTATCTGTTTTCGTCTGTCGTCGTACGTCATCCATCGTATGTCGGTCCTAAACTTTTGAACATTTTTAGCTTCTTCTCAGAAACCACTGAACCAATTTCAACCAAATTCGGTACACAGCATCTGTGGATGAAGGGGAACACAATTTGTGAATTTTATGGTCCCTAACCCCCTTGGGCTCTGAGGGGTGGGGCCAAAACCACTAAAATTAATGCAATCTTTAAAAATCTTCTTTTCTCCTGGACATTAGGCAGTCAAATTGTTTGCATGATTGTAATCAGCATTGAGTCCTCTACCAAAATTGTGAAATTCATGGCTCTGGGGTCAAGGGTTCTAGTGCTAAGCGGGGCTAAATAGATTTTATAGTGAAATTGCATTATTTCTTTGAAAATCTTCTTTTCTGCTCCTGGGCTTTAAATAAACTAAATAAGTAATAGTTTTGTTAAATAAGGCTGCCTTTCCCAAAATTGTGAATTTCATGGCCCCAGGGTCAGGGGTTCTTAGGCGCTAGGGCTGGGCTATATAGATTATGTAGTGAAATGCATAATGTTTTTTTTTGAAAATCTTTTTTGCTCCTTGGTATTTAATAAACAAACCAAAATACATAGTTATGTTGAATAAGGCTGCCTCTTCCGAAATTTTGAATTTCATGGCCCTGGGGTCAGGGGTTCTGGTGTTAGGCCGGGGCTCTATTAATTATATAGTGAAAATGCATAAATTCTTTGAAAAACTTTTTCTGCTCCTGGCCATGGGTATTGAACAAACTAACAAAGTACATAGTTATGATGAGCAAGAACGTCTCTTCAAAAATTTTGAATTTCATGGCCCATGGGTTGGGGGTTCTGGTGTAAAGGTGGGCTCTATGATCATATATTGAAAATACATTAATTCTTTACACATTTTCTTCTCTGCTCCTGAGTTATTAATTAACTAAACAAGTACATAGTTATGTTGAATAAGATTGCATCTTCCAAAATTGTGAATTTCATGGCCTCTGGGTCAGGGGTTCTAGTGGCAGGGCAGGGCTCTATTAATTATATAGTGAAAACCATGACTTCTTTAAAAATCTTCTTTGCTTCTGAGTATTAAAATCAATGTACTATGTACATAATTGTGATAAGGAAGGATGCCTCTTCCAGATTTGTGAATTTCAGGACCCAGGGTCAGGAGTTTGGGTATTAGGGTGGGGCACTAATGATTTTACAGTGAAAGGCATGAATTCTTTGAAAACCTTTTCCTTTGCTCCTGGGTATTATGCCAATGTTCTACGTACATATTAATGATGATGAAGGTTCCTCTTCCAAAATGGTTAATTTCATACCCCCTGGGTCAGGGTACTTGGGGTGGGGGTTACATAATCTGAAAATAAATTAATGCTTTGAAATCTGCTTTTTGGTATTAATGAACCATGTATGATGAAATAAAATTTATGATAATATTTCCAGATTTTGAAATATGTGCCCGCAGGGTCAGTGGTTCCTATGGATTTGGGTGCACAACTGGTTATAAAGTGGAAATGCAACTTCCTTTTGTTACTCTGATTTACCTCTGGTTATTAAGTAACCAAAGTAAGCAAGCCAAGTGTATAGTTATGATAAGCAATAGTGCCTCTTTCAAAATTTTGATTTTCATGGCCTTTCATTTAAAACATGAAGCAATTCAATTGTTGGAAAGTTGTTACATGATACTCAGGTGACCTAGAAGGCCTATGGGCGTCTTGTTTAAAAACACTTTAATAATATACCCTCAATATTTCTAAACTGAGGAGTTTGGTACGGAACAATGTTTTGATTTTTGTAATGAAATGCGCAGATTTATAATTTTTGAAATAGGCCTATATACGAGGGTTGTCCGAAAAAGTCGTAGACAATGTTTATAACTTTGTTAACCTGCAATCAGTGCTAACCAAATTTTGCATAGACATAATATATTGAATGTTCTTTAAAATTGTTAATTCTTAAACATACATGTATATCTTTATATTAAGAATATTGGGACGATTTATATGAAGGACGATATGGTTTGTCGGCGCACGAACAAAATTCGGAATACTTTACGCATATAACTATTACATTTGCTTTTATTTCTTTGGTACTATGTAAATCATTGAACTCAAATTTAAATTAGTAAAAAAAACCTGAATAACATGTCAAATTTTCATATAAATAGCCTTAGAAACAGACGATTGCTGTCATGATTTTCAAAGTGTTTTTGGAATCGAGTTGGATGAAAATGAAAATGACGTCATCAAACGTAACTGGCACACAGGGATGTACAATCAATTGTTTTGGATATGGTTTATATATATCAGAGACAGAAAAAAGAGGAATAAAGTGACATTACACACTAGATTCTAATAGAGAAGTTGTTTTAAATAGTATGTGATTAAATGATAGTTTTTCCTCTATACCGACAATAGTTACCGCATGTAAGAAGTGGAGTACTGTTTATTAAACACAGACAGTGGGGAACGTTCTGGACCATGAACGACGTAAAGCATTGTGTATTCTCTGTTGCCTGCAATGTAAGATCTTTTGACTAAATTTCCAATGAAATTTGAATCTGCTGAAAAAATGGACAGTACTGAATTTTAATAAGTCCCTTAGTCAAGAGTGGTTTTGTCACTGTATAGTGTATAGTTTCCCGTTGGTTGACCAGGGACACCTAATTAAAGTCTAATGTCTGACCAGTTGATACTGTGCAATGTTAATCTTACGTCGCTAATTTTAATTAATTAAACGAACTGATTTTCGGCAGTGCAAAATTCAAAGCGTTTGCTAAAGTCGTTTTCAGTCCCAAAGTTTATATACGCATTGACAAAAATGTTAGAAATGATGAAACATAATTAAGAATTGAATAAAATTTTGCCCAAATAATTAGTGTTGTTATAATAGTCGCCCACTATTGAAAAATCGTCGATGAGAACAATGTAGGTGACAATTGATAGAAAATTTTAAAAACCATAGTCGCTATTTTTTTTTCCAAATGTTTTTTTTTAAACAAAATGGTTTATCTTTGAACTTTATCAAAAGATGTTCCTCTGTTTCTTAAAATGGGACCCATTCAAATATTGTAGCCGGGTCGATTTTTTCCCCCTGCCAAATATGTGTGATCAATTTTTAGTAAGAATGTTAATTTTAACTTTATTTGAGATATAAAATATTTTAGCCTAGACAACATTCACCTTACTTATGAAGAATAACGATCACTATTTATTACATCATCTAGCAATTCTCCCACATCTTTTTGAACATCGTTTTCCACCGCAAGACAGCCATGTTGGGTGCCCACTGTAAATACCACACCTGGTTGATTCAGTTTGGGAATGTTCGACCCCCTTTTTGAGGCATTTATGGAAAGTGAAAATAAATGTTTTAAACTGGAAACTTTATTATGTGTAAATATGTGAGATTGTACTTAAGCATGGGCAGTGGGCAGTGTCTCACGACCTGTAATGGCTTGACGTCTCTTCCCTCCACTAGTCCAGGTAGAGTTAACCCATACCCTCTTAAGGGAGATCCCTCTAGGAGAGCACTTTCTACAAAATGCGCTGATGGGTCTGAAACCCCGGTTGATTGAGGGCCTGCCTACTATAACGTATGTAAAGACTGTGCACTGGCGGACTCTGCGGAGCAAAACATCATGGTTCAACGGAGAAGAAGGCAAGCACCGTGGAATGCATGGAGCAAGGCGAGGCACATATAGCACATCTTGGACATCCACTGCACCTGTCTCCATCTCCAGACGTCCTGACATCTGTCTTGCCACTGGATTTAAATAGTTGCAAACGAGAGAGTTAGGTCAGCGACGCGCA